AACTATGTTTCAGGCACAGTTCCAGACCCTTGGGGCTACATCAGCAAACAAAATAGACAAAAATTCTTGCCTTTATGGAGCTTGTATTCTAGTTCACAGGGTGAGGGAAGGCAATAAACAAAACACATAAGTTAAATAAATATACATAGGATGTTAGTGTCCATGGAGGAACATTAGTGAGGAAGGGAATAGGGGTGTTATTTTAAATCAGATGATCAGTGCCAGCTGCACTGAGAAGGGGATATTGGAGCAGACTGAAAGGAAGAGCAATTGCAGGAAGAGGTTCAGGTGAGGCCCTTAAGCTCCAGAGTTCAAGGAATAGCCAGGAAACTAACAGAAGCAGAAGGAACAATGATGTTAGAGAGGGAACAGGGCCTGCAGCCCATCATTGGATTTTGGATTTTTGTTCTATGTTAAAATGGGGAGTTTCAAGCAGAGAGAGAAGATACAGAATGTATCTCATTGAAGATAGCAAATTTTAAATTTTAAATTTTGCTCTAAGAGAGAAATGGAATAATAGCATCAGGGATGGGAGCAGGTGACAAGAGAAGGTCTATTTTATTTTTCAGAGATATAACAGCATGTTTTTATGTTGAATATGGGGTTTGAAATGAAAATCACAATTCTTGCCTTTTCTGCTTCCCAAGGACACTGCTTTATTTGATTGCCTTTATGTATTGAGAAGGGGCCATATTTGCTTGATCCACTTATTCAATGAACTATTTAATATGACCAAGTTATAGGAAATAAATAATTTCTGAAACATATAAAGAAGCTTGAGTGTTCCCTTTCTGGACATGTAAAGTATCTAACTACAAAACTGACTTCTTAAACAGTTCTTTCAAATTCATTATCTTTTTCCTACAATCTTTTCCCATAGTAGAGAATTAAGAAAACATGTCATGGTACAAACTACTTGCTAAATAACTACAGTGGTCAATTATTCAAAATGCCCCTTCAATAAATTTTATGACTGTGGCTCAAGAATTTAATGATCAACTCACTTATATAACCTGAATATTTTTAAATGATATTAAACTTAAAAAAAAAAAAAAACTGCCCTGCATTAATGTTATGAGTTAACTATTCTTTTAGACAAGATTAGTTTACTTTCTCACTTAGTCCTTTTGTAAAAAAAAAAACAATGTCGGCTGAAAGGGAAGGGATTTTTGCATAACTGCCCATCTGTTTCAGGGTAATGATCACAGACTGTACCCTGCAAGTGAGTCATAGGTTCTGTTAGCTTCTTCCTTCAGGGAGCATGAATAGGTGATAAACCACAGTTGTCAGTTTCACAACAGCAGCTTCTTGAGGCAATAAGCCTGAGGCTTTAATTGAAGAGACAATTTTTTTAAAAAAAAGCTTTGCTGGTTTGTATTTGGAATTTGAGTACAGTGACCAAGAATCTCACAGTTGCTATGTAAGGGATTTGGAATCAGAAAACCTGGATTTGAATCTTGGCTCTGTCCCTGACTCTGGACAAGAATGCTCAAAGGCTCACTTAGCCCAACTGCAAAATGAAAAGAATCCTCTGCTACAGGGAGGATGGAACCATCACAATGAAGACTTACATACCAGCCATCATGGACTCCCGGTAAATTTGCCTGAATCAGCTGCACCAGACATCAGGTCAGCCACTCCTTCCCTGTTTTCCTCAGTAAAGAGCCCCTCATACAGCGCTATTTATATCTCCATAGCCACCTCGCTAGAGGAAAGGTAGGACTTCTGAGTTAACCATGTATTCAACCTAGTAAGAGGGAAAATTTTTGTTTTGTCCCCGCTGACATCTCAAAACTTTACATCTCTTGCAGAGGGAATAGGATGGGCAATGGGATCTCATTGGTATTCGTTTTACTTTAATAAATGATTTCTATTTCAAACTTATTGTGATATTTATGACCTACTATATTATAGTAGCCAATACTTTATCCTGGATATACTTAACTCTTTTTAATCCAAATGGAAAACATGCATTAATGTTTGGTATATGCACAAACATACTAATATATTTGAGGTTATAAAAATTTATGAACTTTGATACAGCACATCAAAACCCCTTGTTTATATTATCTTGGAATTTTATCTTGCAAGTCAGTGCATTGAAAACTGAAAATATTGAACATGGAGCATGACTGTCAAGCGATGGCTGGGACACCATGGAAAACTTGGGAAGCAATATAGCAATACTTCATGGCATTTGGAGTCAGAGAAAAACCTGGGTTTAAATTCAGGCTCTGCCACTTACCATGTGTAATTTTAAAAAATGTTTGAGCCCCAAAGCCTGTTTCCTCTTTGTGAAGCAAGGATATGAATAATACTTCTCAGGGATTAAGTGGATTGAATAAAATAATGCATCTTGAGCTCAAAATAATGTCATCTTACGATGAGGAAGACTTAATGTAAAGTTAGTAAATCTGGAGTCCCTGGGTACAGGAGAGCCAGTTAAAGTATGCTAACAACTTCTCTTAAGATGCAAATTTATGTAACAGCCCAGCTTTTGTTTTGTTTCGTTTTGGGGTTTTGTGTGTGTGTGTGTGTGTGTGTGTATTTGTTGTTGTTGTTTGGGGGGGGAGGGGCAGCTAGCTACATGCCCTTGGCCAAGGCCCAATCACTTTGTACTCAATTAACTGTTAGGTATTAATATGATTAGTTACAATTTGTTAAGCACTGACCATATTCCATGCAATCTGATGGGTTTTGTGGGGGAGAAAGGAGCTTTCCTCTACCTTCATGGTTCTTTCAGCTGGCCTTTCAATCAAAGAGACAGGAGGCAGATTCACAAGAGAAAATAACCAAGTTTAATTACATGGTACATATGGTTACCCCCTATACATGAGAGGTTCACAGACAGAAAGGGGAAAGGAAGTGTGTGACATTCTGAGCTAAGGATCACCTTAGGGCTTCAGAGGGGAGGAAGGTCAATGCAGAAGGACAGAAGCAGATATTCAGTAACTAGAAGTTCACCCAGGGGTTACCCCCTGATACGATAAGCAAGGCCCCTATTCAAGTTCTTCTAGGTAGTTAAGGGAGGGCAAAAGTTTCTCTTGAGGCAGCGGGGTTTTGGTTGTCTTTAGCTCAAAACAATCCTCAACTACCACAGAGGCACATCTTGGGGTGACTGGTTCTGAACCCCTGCAGTTTATATGTAAACTTCAGTCTTTATAATCACCCTTCATGGTAGATGTTCTGATCTCTATTGTGTAGATTGTATGGATGGCTGAAACTGAAGGAAGGTACATCTCTGCAAGGCCACCCAGCCAATAAGTGGTAGAGCCTGCCTCCAGGGCCAGGCTTATCAGTCCCCCAATCCTGTCCTTAGGGACCTGAGGAACTACTGGACACCAGCTGCTTCTAGAGAGGACCAAAGGAGGTTATTCCAGTGAAAGTGCTTTTAAACCGAAACGTCCTATTACAAAGAAAACGTCCTACACTACATCAATATCAATAATTCACATAGGTTTGTGATTTACCCCAGAGCCTGGGAACCCTGAAAGAACAAAAGGTTACACTTCAAGCTCTCTTTCATCTCCTCCTGGAATTTTGCCTTGACCTCAATTTCGCTGGAACAGACCTGATAAACAACATTCAAGAACAGATCTCCAAATGCCGCTCACTCCGTGCCTCTTTTAAGTCAGCCCCCTGCTCTCGGGAGTCCAGGGCCACGAGATCTTGTGCTTTTCCTTGGAAGGTGGACCAACACTTTCTTAGACTAACGTCTCATACCTACCTGTGCAGTTCCCTCGGGCAAGCATCAATGACATGGTTGCATAATTGTTCACATAAACTACTGCTTTCGAAATCACACTGATACCAAACTCCAGTTCCTGGCACCATGCAGTCCATCTAATAGGAATTAAGGCAAACTGGTCCGTTTTCAAGGATATAGTGTAAAATTTAGAACTGATTTCCTCTAAAAAATGTTAACTAATCCCAGGAGTAAAGTATAACTCTGTTGCCCACCTTTATTGGAAACTAGAGGCCAGATGCACAAAGATTCATGCAAGAATGAGCCTTCCTTCCCCTGGCTGTGGGTACTGCCTTTGCTCCTGCGGGAGCTGCCTTTCCACCTTCCCATGCTGCTGAGGGGGGGAGAGGGGGAGTGCAAAATGCCTGTGTCATCGCCATGGCGACGATGGAAGCATCCCACCCTACCCCTGGCAGCTAGGCACCTGCATTTGCAAATTAATCTTCCATCTTTGTTAGGTTAATTTGCATACTCACTCCTGATTGGCTGGTGGGCATCTCGAAGGTATGGTCAATTTGCATCTTTCTCTTTTATTCGTGTAGATCACATGTGTCAAACATAAGGCCCGCGGGCCAAATCCGTCCCACCAGGCCTTGCAATGTGGCCCGCACAGCGCTGTCATCACTGCACTCCGCTGCGTTTCCATCACGACAGTTTATGACTGTTCAGTAAACCATTCGGCCAGCGATTTAGGCTGGATTTTAGATTTTGGCCCCTTCTCTGATTGAGTTCGACACCCTTAGTGTAGATAATAAGCTTATTGGAAATACCACCAAAGGGTTTCTGGTATTAGTGACATAAGGCGCAAATTGGGTCAAAGTGGGGCCTCATCTTAGTACCCCCTGAAAGGCACTTCGTTCTCCACTCTCCTGGGAGATGCTCAGCCTGGCCCTCTCTCTCCTGAAGAGAAAGCAGGAGAGTCAAGTCCAGATAAAGTGGAGGCGCTCATTCTGGCAGCTAGAACTCAAGTCTGGGAAGGCGCGCAGGGCCCCGTTTGTGTAAGGAAGAAAGGAAGGTCCCTGGTTTCCCAAAAGCCGGGATCTCCGAGCAGGGGAAATGCCTCTTTCTCAGGTCCTGGGACTCACCATTCCCCTTCCCGGCCAGACTCTCTCCCTTCCCCGGGGCGCTTCCCCAGGGCTCCCCGCCGCCTCGGAGGAGGCGCCCCAGCGCCCCAGCACCCGGACAATTTCCGCCGGCGCCGCAGGTGGGAGCGGCGGGGAGCGGGCGAGGGCTGCGCCCGGGCACCCGGCCTTACCTCGGAGGGTGAGATCTCAAACACGCCGGCGATCTTGGCGTAGAGCTCCCGGATGCTGGCGAAGTTCTCCACTCGGCCCGTGGCGCTGCCGTGCGCCAGCTGCGTGTAGAAGACCAGCCTGGCCGGGGCGGGCCGGGGTGCCGGGGGCTGGCCGCCCTCCGCGCCCGCCTGCTCGCCCTGCACCAGCGCGCAGGTGTCCTTGGCCTTGGCTTTCCTCTTCACCCGCAGTCCCAGGGGCATCTTGCCGGACCGCGGCGGGGGCCACCTGTGCTGCCGGCCGCCTGCTCCGGCCGGCGCCGCGGACTTTGCGCTCCGGCCCCGGGCTCCGCGCAGGTAGGAGCGGCGCCGGGCCAATGGCACAGGTGCTTCCGCCCCGCGGCGGCGGGCAGCGCCCCTTTCCCCACCCCGAGGAGAGGCCATCCGTCATCCCCCATGAACCTGGAGAGAAGAAAAGTTAGACCCATTCTGGAATCTCATCTCCAGGTTTCTCCCCAACCCCCTCCGCCCCCTCTTTTTAAAATATAGTTTTATTGATTTTTTACAGAGAGGAAGGGAAACATCGATCAGCTGCCTCCTGCACACTCCCTACTGGGGATGTGCGGCAACCAACGTACGTGCCCTTGACAGGAATCAAACCTGGGACCCTTAAGTCTGCAGGCTGACTCTCTCTATCCACTGAGTCAAACCACTCAGGGCCCCAATTCCTTTTTAAAGAAATGGCTGGATTTCCTTAAAAGCCTTAGGATGCTGAAGCTACAGAACAACACGTCTTAGAATACAAACAGACTGGCCCTTGCGGTCCCTTTCATAAATGTGTGTGGTAGGCACCCACGCGATTGGGACACGCGCCTTCGTGTCTGTAGGTCTGAGCCGGTGGGGATATGAATTTTAAGGTTCAAGTCCACCTTCACCTGCCTTCTCTGCGCCTTACTGCACCGTGCAGGGCGGAATTGGAAGAGAGAGTTGTGAGATTGGTGCCACATCAAATTCATATTCAAATACCCTCAAAATGCCTCTCAGTAATCTTTTTTTATTTTTATTTTTTCCCTTCCTGGCAGCTTTCTCTGTCGAATGTTCAGCACTCTCTCTAAGTCCATAGCTCCACCTACACCCTTCTTGGTCTCTGCAGTGGACCCTGCCCCGAGGGTCCTACTCAAAGTATTGTGTAAACTCCCTTAATAACTCCACCCACTCCCCTTCTCCAAACTAAGAGAAATCTCTTTTTATTTGTCCCTTGATTTGTCTTCACTCAGAAATCTCTATTTTTTTATCTAACCGGTTTGGCTAGTGGATAGAGCCTCAGCCTGAGGATTGAAGGGTCCCAGGTTCGATTCTGGTCAAAGGCATGTACCTTGGTTGCGGGCACATCCCCAGTAGGGAGTGTGCAGGAGGCAGCTGAATTGATGTTTCTCTCTATCCCTCTCCCTTCCTCTCTGAAAATAATAATAATAATAATAATAATAGTAATAATAATTAATAAGATATATATATTTTTTAAAAAAGAACCTCTATTTTTAAGGACTCTTGCCCTTCCCCACTTGATACCCTCATTGATAGCCCAAAGCCAAATCTCCTACACTGTTTTCAAGTCGCCCTCCATCCCTGCAGCTGCCTCTAGCTACATCTTCACAACAAAGCAAAACTGCCTTGAATTATTAGCTGCATTTCCTCACTTCCTCCTTTACTCTTAAGCTCGCTGTGATCAGACTTTGCCCCCACACGCCACTGAAATTGCTCTGACTCTGGTCAGCACTTCGTAATCCATCAGCTATGATTCACTCTTTTCTGTCTTTATCTTACTTGACCTTTGAAAGTTTCTGTCTGCAATAACCATTTCACTCTTAAGTCAGGCCTCTGTTTCGACTTCCTTACCTCTCTAACTGCTGCTCTGCAGAAACTGTGTCCTCCAAGGCTATTTTTCTTTGGCCATTTTTTTTTTTGTTGTTGTTGTTGTTCTTTGCATGCTATTCTCCCTGAATGACCACATCTATTGTCTTGGGTGGGTTTTTTATATGTATGTTGATTTCCAAGAGTAAGGGAGAGGGAGAGAGAGAAACATCATTGACCAGAGAGAATCTTTGATGGGCTGCCTCCTGCACACCCCCTACTAGGAATCAAGCCCCCTTCCCAGGCATGTGCCCTGACCAGGAATCAAACCATTACCTCTTTATTCGTAGATTGATGGTCAACCACTGAGCCATACTAGCCAGGTGTTTTTGTTTGTTTTTTAATCCTTCAAGAATATGTGTTTATTGATTATATTTTTGTTGTTGTTTTTACTTATTTTAAAGAGAGATGATAGGAGAGAGAGAGAGAGAAACATCAATTGGTTGCCTCCCATATGCACCCGAATTGGGATGGAACCCACAACCTGGTTATGTGCTCTGACCAGGAATGGAACCCACAACATTTTGGTGCACAGGACAACAATACAACCAACTGAGCCACCCCATCAGGTCTTGGCCTTAGTTTTTGTTGTTGAACTCCAAATTTATATCCACAGTCTAGTCTACCAGAAAGGGAATATACGGCAGGAAACAAATTGAGAAACTGAGATTGTACAAATCATCCTTTGTCCTGAAAGCATCTTTTTTTTTTTTCTTCTGATTTTAGTAAATAGGGTCACATGCCCAGTGACCCAAACCAAACATCGTTGAGTCATCATACCAAGTATTTTCCTTCTCCCTCACCTCTCACATCAATTCAGTTCTAAAAGTTCATGTTTCTAAAAATAAAGTTATCAGTTTTAAGAGAGATAACAGAAGAGAATAACTTTAAAATTTTTGTGTTTTGTTTCTGTGATTTATAATATAAACATATCCTGTGGTTCATACTCACTAAAGATGGAAATTACCTTAATTATCTTGGGACTAGAGGCCTGGTGCATGAAATCCATGCACAAGAGTGTGTGTCCCTCAGCCCAGCCTGCACCCTTTCCAATCTGAGACCCCTTGAGGGATGTCCAACTGCCTGGTAGGATCAGGCCTAAACAGGCAGTTGAACATCCTTCTCACAATTCAGGATGGCTGGCTCCCAACTGCTCGCCTGCCTGCCTTTCTGACAGCCTGATCACCCATAACTGCTCCCCTGCCAGCCTGTTTGCCCCTAACTGCCCTCCTATGTAGACCTGGTCCCTCCAACTACTCTCCCCTGCAGGCCTGCTCACCCCCAAGTTCCCTCCTCTGCTGGCCTGGTCGCCCCTAACTGCCCTCCCCTGCTGGCATGATCACCCACAACTGCCCTCCCTTGCAGGCCTGGTCATTCCCAACTTCCCTCCCCTCCTGGCCATCTTGTGGTGGCCATCTTGTGTGTTGGAGTGATGGTCAATTTGCATATTACTCTTTTATTACCCTGTTTCCCCGAAAATAAGACAGTGTCTTATATTAATTTTTGCTCCCAAAAATGCGCTAGGTCTCATTTTCAGGGCATGTCTTATTTTTCCATGAAGAAGAATAGGGTACACATTTATTGTTAAATGAAAATAAAGGAAATTTATTACCTGTATACAGTACAGTAGTACAGTAGTTGTCAACCCAAACCAGACAAACTGTGAATCCTACAGTATCAAGAATTTACTCATTTATCCAATGACAATCATGTCATCATCTTCTAGAACATCATTATAACAATCCAATTTCTGAATTTCCTGGTGAATTTCTTGTGACTCCATTTCTTTCAGAATCAGTGGACCAAATCTCTCATGTTTAGCCTGGGGGGGGGGGGGGCCCTTATTTTCGGGGGGATGCCTTATATTTCATTCAGAAGAAAACCTGTAAGTAGGTCTTATTTTCGGAGGATGTCTTATTTTCGGGGAAACACGATAGATAGGATAATGAAAAAAGAGTAGAGAAAACATAATAAGTACATGATGCATTTTCATCAAGTGAGAGCCAACTAATTTCACAATATAGTTAATGGATAAAAAGTTCACTGAGGTCGAAGCCGGTTTGGCTCAGTGGTAGAGCGTCGGTCTGCGAACTGAAAGGTCCCAGGTTCGATTCCGGTCAAGGGCATGTGCATTGGTTCCAGGCACATTCCCAGTAAGGGGTGTGCAAGAGGCAGCTGGTTGATGTTTCTCTCTCATCGACATTTCTAGCTCTCTATCTCTCTCCCTTCCTCTCTGTAAAAAATCAATAAAATATATTTAAGGAAAAAAAAGAAATTCACTGAGGATTAATTAAAGAAAAATGGGAAGAGAAGTGAGTTACCACATGGTATATGACAGGTACATTAACAATGCTAAACAATTATGAGGGAACACTAGAGTGTATGTATGAAATTAAGAAAAACTTTAAAAAGATGTCTTTAATCTGTGTTAAATAAAACATCAAATAAATAGGGCAAAAGTATTGGCATGTGGGGGAGCACAGGAGACTTGGAAAGTTTATTGATCTACAGTAAGGCAGAAATTCTGAAAAGGAAAGTGTGCTGAATGTGGCCCATCTGTTAATCAGAATTCTGACTTAGGAGAGTGCTGAAGGCGGCACCCCTGATTATTCCTTGACCTTTCCAGACAAGTCTGTGCATGTGCAGACCCTCAGGTGTTTACTAGAATCCTTAGGCTTAATCTTTAGGTGTCCTTGCTTAAAGAACACTGAAGACACATGTGTTCCCTCAAGATTACTTACCCTACTGATTGTATCTAAAATATAAACTTTATCTCAAACTGCTGTTACAATAAAAGCCTAATGAAGCAGGTGATTGAGGCTGTCTGGTTCTTTTAGCCAGGCAGTCCCTGAGCCCTCTTTTTCACAACAATCCTATGTCAGAATAATCATTCATCTGTCCCTCATGATCTGCTGGTCAGCCTGGCAATGGCATAGATAGGAACATTAAAATCAATAGCCTTTCAATTCCCTTTAATTTCTAAATTCTCTTATTCTTTGCCTAGAAAGTGAATGTTTCCCTCAAGGCCTATGTTAAGTTTACCTTTACTCTAAATCTCATTTAAGGAGCCATCTGTATCAGCTATAGCTACAGAAGGAAATGGACGGTACACTCAAGAATATCTGGTGATGGTTTAATGAAGGGATCGGGCAAGGTGGTGGTCAAGGTATACTCATAACATAACCTGACCCAATATTACCAATAGATCTGAGCAACAGGCACGCCTGCTCTAGCCCTATGAGGTGCACCAAACCCTCAGGGCACAAAGTCCACAGGGTCAAGGGGCATGGTCACCCAGAACTCATGCCCTTCCTTCTAGACCTTGTCCTGGGTACCCAGGATCCTGGATTTCCTTACCCAAATAGCCCCATGTCT